TTAGCTCCGTGTGACTTCTTCCTCTTCCCCAAGATGAAAATTCAGCTAAAGGGAAGGAGATTTGAGACAATAGAAGAGATTTAGGCAGAATCGCAGATGGTGCTTGACAGGCTGACAAAGAAAGATTTCCAGGGATGCTTCCAGGCTTGGCAGCGGCGCTGGGATCGTTGTGTTCACTCCCAGGGGAACTACTTCGAGGGTGATGGATAAATTTAATACCTGAGATAAGTGTACGGGTTTTTATAGGCGCAGTCTGTAAACCTTCCGATCGCACCTCGTATTATTTCTTTCGTTCCGTGGTTTTATCTGCACTTTATTTAACGTTGCTTTCATGATATCAGATCATATAGTAAAATTATAGAATGAATGTTAAGGTATGAAATGAAGCAGTCGTGGCCAAATTTATCATAGTGACATTTTATAGAATGAATGGGAAAGACCTTGAAAGTACTCAACATTGTAGTCTCAGGTTTGATATTTGAACCTTGGAACTCCCACTCGCCTATGAGTTTTTGTCATGTGGATGTTATTCGTGGCAAAATTCGACGCTGTCTTAAATAATACGACGTTACAGTTGGATGATTGTAGTGATTTCATTTGACAATGTTCTTGAGAAACTGCCACCTGCTAAGAATAAGAGACACTTCATGAATTTTATGTAACCCGATAGTTCATTATCTTTTTCACAAAAGCCGCCACTGGATCGAATTCTCAGCAAAATCCAATCACCATCACCGTCATAACTTTTCAATGGTTGAAAGTGTTGTTTTTAAACACGTCTTACTATCGTGTAGTCTTGTGGAAATTAAAAGGCTACGAGCCTTTGTGGTGATTTGAAACGGTGGTTGTGTGAAGCTTCTATTGAATCACCATCTGGGGACATGCATGGCTGGTAACGTAGTATTAAGGAAAGGGACAACTTCTGCAATTTGAATTTGACTGGTAAGGCAGCAAACCGAGACGTGCTGGCTGCTACTGACAACGCTCCTAAGTTGGCTGACTTAATTAAAGAGGGGGCTGCTTTTCAATGCATGTGTTTGACGTGGACTAGACAGGTCTCTTTTACCTGCCAGAACATATCTTGCCAAGGAAGAAGAAATTCCACTAAGATTTAAGCTGGCCCCGCTGCTTGGGCTAATATAGAAGGGGGAGTCTTTCTTAGTTTATACTGAAAACTCTATGAAGTTTTAAGGGTAGGGTCAAAGTAGTGTCGTCGGTGAGGTAAAGGTCCGATCATAAGTACTCGGTCACTGTTAAAAGATCGACTCTTTGACTGATTTATTATTATATCGAAAAGTTGTTGTAAGGAGAATAATTTATGTAAGACTTGAGGTTCTCACAGCGGTGAGTATGAATATTTCCGTCTTCTGGGTTGT